TCCTGATTGAATGTCTTAATTGATAATTGAACCTTATTCAATTGATGATTGAACCTTATTCAGTTGATGATTGAACCTTATTAATTGATGATTGAACCTTATTGATGATTGAACCTTATTCCACATTGAATACTGATTTGATCAAAATGTTTACAGTTTAATGAAAACTGTAACTTAATTTTGAATTTGATCTCTAGGTATAACTATTGTTGAACTAGAAGAAGAGAACCCATTAAAAGTCTTGCACCAGCAAATTTTTTCCATTCCAAACCTCTAGATTTACTATTAAGTCCTGTTTATTTCTAGAACATTGGTACTTAAATGATCAATTGTTTTTAAAATGATCACATTCTGGCTTGACCAACATAAAGCTGCATTGCTATATATGCTCTGTACTTTTATGTTTATTAAATTTTTAATTTAAAAATGATATCAAGAGATGTATGTTTCCAAAATATTTTATTACATATTAAACATTAGAATTATTCTTAAGTAGCAAACAATATTAGTAATATTAGTTAATGTTTTCAATAAACAATTTTGGATATTTGGATTTCAATAGGAAAAATATAAACCAGTAAAGTATTGTAAAGATGATATTTCACCTGCAACAAATGACCATCCTATATTTAAAAAACAGATGATGATTCTGTTGATATAGTTGACAGAATGAAAAACCTCATAAAATTTAAAATAGAGATAATCATAATCTAAAAATTATGATTATCTGGCTTGTACTATACAAGATGAATTTAGCTTTTTAGGTTGTTTATTAAAAAAAATATTAAAAACATCATGTTTTTATAAATTATGAATTCTGTATAATATGAAGAACATTGGCGAAATTTTATTTTTAATTTAGGTAAAGCTAAATTGTGAACATATATATGGGGGTCATTCTATATAAAATTATCATTTTTCAAAACTATTTAGACTGAATATTAGAAGTGGATTTTTTAAAAACAAATTAACCTACACAGTTAAAAAATCTAAAAAAATATATATTTACTGTGTCAATGTTTATGTATGCGTAGAAGATGTTTAAAATTTAGTAACTATTTTTAATACTTTATGATTTAAAAAACTATATTTCTTAACATGGAGTTATGTTAAACGTTTTTTTTTAAGTTTTTAATTCTCAGAACAAACATTAAGGCCGCTTTCCACAAGATGAAATATTTGCGTGAAGCGAATTTTTTCGCTATGACGAAAACGCTGTTTTGATTTCCAATTACTTTCTTTCATGCTACTTTTTTTTCATTGTCAACAATAAAAATGACAGCAATAAGTTAACGCTGTATGTTTAACTAAAAGCAGTTATTACTTTTTTAGCATACTTTCTACTTCGAAGCATGTGAAAATTTTTTTCCGTGCATTAATATTAGCATTTCTGTCTTTATATGTGATATTATTTTGTAATATAATCATTTAATATAAGGTTTTTTTTACAAGAAAGCATAAGAAAATAAATGCTAAACTCTGATATGAATATTTCTATTAAAAAAACTGTTACTGCAAGAACGAAAAGCAGGTTTAACCATATGTAGGGTTTTTTACAAAAAGGTTTATTTTCGTGTGGCCACTTAAAGATAAACATTCTTATGAAGTGTTACTTTAGTAATTGACAGTGTGAAAATTTATATTTGTAAATTCTCGATATAGTTTTATATAAGTCTGGCCTTTTTTTATATAAGTCTTGGTTCTTGTTTGATGAATTTACTCATGCTTGCTAATTTTCAGAGTAAGTTCATATAAAATTAATAAGAACGCCAGGTTAAGAATTTTATTTTTTGTTAATTTAAAAACATGTTTTAGCTTTTTTTTACTGTTGACATCACGTGATATAATATTCAAAACTTGATTGGTTTTCGCTTATGGCGATTTGCAAAAAGTCAAAATGAATTCAAATTTTTTTTTTTGCTGCAGCGAAATGCTGAACCAAAAAAAAAATTAGCATAATTGCCAAAAATGTTTAATCTGTGCATGCTTATCGACGAAAAAATTTGCTTCATGCGAATTTTTAGTCGTGTGGAAACAGCCTTTAGAGATTAAATAAGTTTGTTAATAAGTGTTATTATTATTATCTAAATTTTGTTAAAAATAAAATTTTTAATGTTATTAAAAATAAAAAAGACTGTTAACAATAACAAATGTAGTTTAAAATAACAAATGTAGTTTTTTATACAACCCAATTTTTTTTTTAATTAGAAAATATTAGGCAAAAGCATTTAAGTTGAAATGACTATCTATGCTAAATTTTTTTAATGAAATCATTGTCTAGAAAAATGTAAAATGACTTTTTTTTTGTGTCATGACCGTGACATGACGGTTATTTCGATGTTTATATTTTGATTTTTAAATATATCAATAAAGCAGATTTAACTTGAAAAACTTTAATTAAAACATATATTATAAAGAGCAGTTTAAATAATTGATATAACTCTGTATTTAAAGGTTAACATTAATATTTATGAACTAATTTAAAATATCAATATATATATTTAAATATATATATATATATATATATATATATATATATATATATATATATATATATATATATATATATATATATATATATATAATTTTAAAAGTTTTTCCCTGAGTTTTCCCTGAGTATTTCCTGAGTAAAGTACATTTTTCCCTGATTTTAGTTTTCTTAAAATCCCTGAGTTTTCCCTGAGTTTTCCCTGAGTATTTCCTGAGTAAAGTACATTTTCCCCTGATTTTAGTTTTCTTAAAATCCCTGAGTTTTCCCTGAGTTTCCCCTGAATATTTCCTGAGTAAAGTACATTTTCCCCTGATTTTAGTTTTCTTAAAATCCCTGAGTTTTCCCTGAGTATTTCCTGAGTAAAGTACATTTTTTCCTGATTTTAGTTTTCTTAAAATCCCTGAGTTTTCCCTGAGTTTTCCCTGAGTAATTCCTGAGTAAAGTACATTTTTCCCTGATTTTAGTTTTCTTAAAATCCCTGAGTTTTCCCTGAGTTTTCCCTGAGTATTTCCTGAGTAAAGTACATTTTTTCCTGATTTTAGTTTTCTTAAAATCCCTGAGTTTTCCCTGAGTTTTCCCTGAGTATTTCCTGAGTAAAGTACATTTTTTCCTGATTTTAGTTTTCTTAAAATCCCTGAGTTTTCCCTGAGTATTTCCTGAGTAAAGTACATTTTTCCCTGATTTTAGTTTTCTTAAAATCCCTGAGTTTTCCCTGAGTTTTCCAGATCTAACTCTTTTGATTTTCTGTTTCGTCGCATTTTCTTAAAACAGTTGCTTTTTTAAGCATTGTTAAATCATTATTTTTGTCAGCATCTTCAACAGATTGAATAAAATCTTTGTTTAATGTACTACATGCTGTTACAAGTAAATTCTTTTTTTTTCTACTTCCTTAATTTCTTCTAATATGATTGCTTTTTTTCTACTTCCTTAATTTCTTCTAATATGATTGCTACATATGAAAACAGGCATTATATAAATATAAAACAATGCCTAAATTGCACAAATAAATTTGTAAAGATTAAAGAACAAGAAAGAAAACTGAATAAAAGAGATAGAAAAAGAACAAAGTTGTATTAATAGCCAATAATCAACACCAGAGCAAAAATTGAAAAAAGGACCTTGGTAAATTATGAAAGCATAAAAACAGATGTCTTTAAAAAACTCAATGTATCATTGATATATCTTGTTTAATTTCTAGTTATATGGAAGAAGTTAATATTCAAGTTTGTGAGAAGCCCATGCTGTAAACAGTGTTTAACTGGCTTTACTAAAGTCTCCATGAAAAGCAGATTATGTCATTAAACAGTTAGCAATAAAAATTAAGATCTTAACAGATATACCAAATATAAAAAAAGGGATTCGTTTATCTTTTGGTGTATTTAATCATGTACTAGAATTTTACAACTGCTAAGAAATATCTCAAAGGACTCCACACTTAAAATTAGTAGTTAAAAATTACAAAAGTGTTACTTGTTACTTAAATTATGCCTAAATTATGTTACTTAAAATTATGTTACTTAAATTATGTTACTTAAATTATGTTACTTAAAATATACACAGAGGAATTTTGTAGCAAAAAATATTTTCAAAACGTTACGCATTTTACTCAGGTCAAATTCTCACATATTCAAAAATACCTTCTTGTCTAGCTTTTGTGTCAACTTTTCTATCAACTGAATGCTACCACTATCCGAAGGGCAAAATGAAGAATGCATAGAAGTCAATTACATAAATTGGTATACAAATAGATAAGGTTACAAATCCTCTACAGCAGGGATTGATTAAACAGTCTTTCTATGCAACATACACAGTTTTTTGGTAATGCTACCTCAATTTCAAATTCACCATTTAATAAAATGTTACCAAGTGACTGTTTATCACCACAAAACAGATAATATTATATATGGTGTACTAATACCATTTGATTTGGTGTAATAATACACTTTGATTTTAGCCAAAACTATAGCTGTATTTGTTCAAAGTGCTTATTGGATAAAATCTCTCCAACAACAATCTTCACTGACTCAATTTATGGTAAAGATTTAAAAAATATGGTTGCTTATTTAAGAGATAAAAATGATTACAACTCTTATTTCTCAAAAACATAAAAGATATAAAAAATGAGCTGTTAAAGAAAAATACCTTTGAAGTTTTTTCCATGAATTTTTCTTAAACAGTTTGATTTTTATACCTTTTATATATAGTTTTCAGGAATGCAATTTATTTGTAATATGTTATTTAATTGCTTACACAACCAATTCAAACATACACTAATTATCATTTTGGAATAATGGTCCATCTTCTCAATTTAAATCCGCTTTATGGTGAAATTCCTAAAGTATTGTCAAGTGACTTTTAACTTTTGAACTTTTAAAGTTTTTTCACTATGTGACTCCATGGATAATATGAAGCTGAGTATTGTTATGAAAAATTTCAAAGTACTAAAAAAAAATATTTTTTTTCAATATTAAAAGTTTTCATTTGAGCTAAACATTTAACTTAATCTTACCTTTATCTAATTTAAAAGGGCTTAATAAAGTTAATATGCCTCTTTTAGACAATGCTTCATTACCAACATAAGCATCTTTCTGCCCCATTCCAACCATTACACCCTATTACAAAAAATTAAATTATAAAATAAAGTTTAGATTGTTCAAATTAAAATTGAGAAATTTTATATATTCACACACAACAAATTTACTGACAACTTGAGTTTTAGGAATTAAAAAAGAAGTGAAAGAGAAAAAAAGCTGTTGAAAAAATGACTTAAAAAGCTGTAAATTGTTATTTAAACTGCTCTGCTGAAAAAATGATCAGCCTTTTATTGTTTTCGAATTACACTCATTTGAAATTTACTGAGGTAAAAAAAATATGAGTGCGCTAATACTTATATAGAATAAATATATTGCAAAAGCAGAACAATTTAAAAGTTAAAATAAGATCATGATCTTTCTCTTCATTATACCAAATTATACGATAATACTATTTCATTCATTATACGATAATACTATTTCATTCATTATACCAAAAGTATAATAAAATGAAAACTCAACACCAACTAAGCTCCTTTTAACCTCAAAGTCATAGCAAATTACTCTTTATGATGCATAAACAATGCTGTGATAACAAGCTATTAACATAGCTTGTTATCACAAGCTATGTTAATAGCTTGTGATAACAAGCTTAATAAAAAACAAATTTAATAAAGAACTTGAGATAACATAGCTTAATAAAGAACAAATTAAAAAATCAGATAAAAACAAATCTATTATATTTAATTAAATTTTTCAAATAAATAATTACTTGATGTCTTGGCCGTCCAACTAATGTTGGAATAACAACTTTTGGAGCTCTACAACCAGCAAAACCAGCCTATATATAAATATACATATGTATATATATGTATATATATATATATATATATATATATATATATATATATATATATATATATATATATATATATATATATATATATATATATATATATATCTGTATATATCTTATACTGCTGAGTTAGGTGAGCATGATGATGTCATACTCACCTAATGTCAAATTGCCTGCTGCCGGGGGCTTCAGTACATACATCGACTGACAAATAGCCTGACTCGCCGTGGAGTGCTGCTACATCGACTGAGGGTTTGGTATGGGTCAGCAACATTTTCATTCATTATTCTTTGTTTTCCCTCATCGTTTTCTAAAAATGCTCACTTAATTTAGGCTAGCAAAAAAAGTGAGCAATTGCGCATATAAATATGCTATAGTAAATATATATATATATATATATATATATATATATATATATATATATATATATATATATATATATATATATATATATATACACACACACAGATATATATATATATATATATATATATATATATACAAATAGTATTGCGTACTAAGGTAAGCAACCTGACATCATACTGAAATAGCCTGCTGCTGGGGGCTTCAGTACATACATCGACTGACAAATAGCCTGACTCGCAGTGGAGTGCTGCTACATCGACTGAGGGTTTGGGATGGGAAAGCATTCGTTTCAATCATCATTCTTCGTTTTTTCTTCTTCTTTTTTGAAAACAACGGTGTAGCTTAAGGTATGCAGAAAAAGTGAGCAGTATATATATATATATATATATATATATATATATATATATATATATATATATATATATATATATATATATACATATATATATATATATATAAAACGTTTCCGTTTCAAACTCATTAGTTAATAACTAATTTTTTTAATAACTAATTAAAGTCTTAATAACAAATTAGGGATCACAAATTTTATTTTTTGAATGAATAAACTTTTGATCTTTAGGTCACTATTTCATATTACTTTAGGAAAACGAAAAAACGAAATGAAATTTTTTTCAGAAAGTTTTGTTTCTCTTTTAAGTATTAGTAATAAAACTAACCATTGCAAATAAAAAAAATAGTTATTATCAAGAGAGTAGCTATCAGAGATGTGGAGTCCCAAAAAGGACTCCGGATTTGTAAGTCACAAAAAGACCACTTCTTTCCAAATTTTTCTTATCTAGGAGCTTTAAATATATAAAAAAGCTTATGGGCTACTAATGGGGAAAAAATAAAAACTTAGTGGTCAGAAGAATAATAAATTTTTGAACCCGGAGTCCTTAGATATAATAGCGGCAAGGACTCCGGGCTTAAAAACAATAAACTACAAGTTATTAAATATCATAATTTTTTTTTTATAACAGATCATTAATCAATCAACATGTTTAGAGCTTCTGGACTCCAGAGATCATAAAAATATAAAGTTTTTAAGCTGGAGTCCTTTTGGGACTCCACACCCCTGGTAATTAAAAAACAAAGATTAAAATTCTTGACAAGTCATCTCCTAAGGCATTCACACTAAATGGCAGTTGAATAAGAATTTGTTAGCTTGAAATCTTGTCTTTCACAGGCAAACAACATATCATGTAGGTCATTTTTGGAGTAGTAATACTCAGAATTTTCCTGGATTGATTTGATATATTGATCAATTGTTGATTTGATATCAGAAACATTTATAAAAGACATCTTCGAAAATGAATGAAAAAAAAACTTAAAAAATTAAAATTTTATAATAATAGTTTTATTGAGTAAATAAATTGATCAGACAAAAAAAAATTTTGATCAATTTTATTTATTCAGTTAATACAAAAGTGTTTGTGTTAATAACGGGATGAATATATTATTTTAGCAAGTTTAATTTGCTCTAAACATATTTTTGTAGATTTCTTTAAGACAAGAATTCAACTTAACACTTAAACATCATTTAATCTTTTAATCATAACCCTTTAATCATAAAAATAAGTTAATTTTTTTAAAAATAAATTAATTTTTTGGCATAATTAATATTTTGGCATAATTGTGGTAAAAATATGGAATAGGAAAATATAACATTGATTGGTGGTGTTGTAAGTTATAACATTGGTAGCTTTGTTCAAATTACTATGGAATGCCGGAATTTTTTATTCAAATCTGTTTTGTTAAAATACCAGTTGTTTGCAATGATTTTATTCATATTAGCGTCTTGTTTATTGGACTTTATTGACAATTATTTATGGTTAGATTACTATTAGTGTTAAACTTAGTAATTGTGAAATTTTATTTGATTTAAACAAAAATTATGGGCAGCGGAAAGCATCACAATGAAGAAAAATATTGATGAAATAATGGTCTGAAAAAGAAAAACGACTGAACATACTGATAAGTAAAATATGTTGTTGCAAGTATGTAACAACATATTTTACTTATCAGTAAGTAGTGTAGTGGTGAAGGGCTTTAAAAGCAAGAAGCTCCAAGTTCAATTCCAACCATGCCCCTCATAGTACTGCGCTCAACTTGCTTTTTAGCACAGCAATTTGTTTTTAACCAATTTGTTTTTGTGACAAAAACGCAGATGAAGATTGACCTGCTTTGAATTGGCAAAATATTTTGTGGTCTGATGAAAACAAACTTGTTTTACTTGAGTTAACTAGAAAAGGTAAGAAAGCCATCTAATTTTTCTTACAAACTGCAACACAAAACAAAAACTGTTTAATGTGATGCGTTAAAAATAAATATTTGAGTTTGTTTCTACTATTATTGTGTAGAGCCAATCAATAAAATTGGTGGAACTAAGGACCAACATATTAGGCTGTATATGAAACACCATGCGTCTAAAATGGGTTTTCTTGCAAGATAACAAAAACATACTAATTGTTAGGTAAAAAAATGGTTTTTGGAAGATGTATTAAATGGTATGAATACCAGTCATGGATTGACCTTTGCAGTCATAAAATCACAATTCTATTATTTTTAATTTCATTTTATAAACTTAGTATCACTATAAAATTTGTCTATAAAATTAATTATTTGTAATAAAACATAAAAAAACTAAATAATACTATTATTATATCTAAACTTTTTGTAATTATGTAATTATTGAAAATAGTACCAAAAATAAAAAAAATGTAAATTATGTATTTTACAGATAGAGCGCCTGATTTTGAATAGAGCAATAATTATTACTAAAAACACATATCTAATATTCTTCAACTGTATTTAGTTTATTTAACTGTATTTAGTACTAGAGTACATGTTAGTTATATATGATACTTTATATCATATATAACTAACATGTACTCTAGACTGGATACTATATTTATTTGTCTGGTGACTGCTGAAAACTTTTTTGAGAAGCCGAGATCAAGGGTTACAGCTTTGATAGAACAATTTCAAATACTTGTACTTTTTTATAGGTAGAGTTTGGGTCAACTGTTAACCAATTTGGCATGTCATCTTTGAACAGTGAAGATGATCAGTGAAGAACAGTGAAGGCCATCAATTCTATAAATATGAGCTTATTTTGGCAGCAATATAATCCATTACACCTAGTCATCATCTCATAAATGTTTTGAGGTATTACTTATAGAAAATATAGCATTTCCTGCAAGGAGTAAATTTGTTTTTCTCTAAGATCTATCTGAAATATTAATAATTTGATTAACCTATGTAAAAATTTGAAAACATTTTAAGGAAAATATCTATTTTTTTTTTTTATTTGCATTCACTCCCAACAAGGCTGCAAGCAACCACTATTAAGTTGGGAGAAAGAAATGATTTGATAATCTCAAAAACTTTCCCAGAAACACCATATGAAGCAAGCTTATGGAGAAGACCAGCATGCCAAACTTTGTTGTGGAGAAGACCAGCATGCCAAACTATTTCATTGAGTAATATAAAGAAAATGTTAATTATGCATAATTTAGGTGGTTATGTCACTGATAAAACTCATATTTTCAAGGAGTTTAAAATAGTGAAAATTGCATTAAAGCTGGTTCATAGGATATTAGGAGTAAAAAGTAATTTTGAATTATATCTCTATATATATGCAACAAATTGAAATAAACAAATAAAGGAATGTCTTATGAAAAGTATGATTAAATAATTCATAAATAAACTGTTTTAAAATAAGGATAATTTATAGATTTTTAAAGATGTTTTGTTGATACTTTAGTAAAATCAACTTTTAAAATTATGTACTGTGTATAAAATATGTAATTAAGTACTTGAAAATTCATTAAAAGTCATCAAACCCATCAGTTAATGTAACAACACTCAAACCCATCAGTTAATGTAACAACACTCAAACCCATCAGTTAATGTAACAAAACTCAAACCCATCAGTTAATGTAACAACACTCAAACCCATCAGTTAATGTAACAACACTCAAACCCATCAGTTAATGTAACAACACTCAAACCCATCAGTTAATGTAACAATACTCAAACCCATCAGTTAATGTAACAACACTCAAACCCATCAGTTAATGTAACAAAACTAAAACCCATCAGTTAATGTAACAACACTCAAACCCATCAGTTAATGTAACAACACTCAAACCCATCAGTTAATGTAACAAAACTCAAACCCATCAGTTAATGTAACAAAACTCAAACCCATCAGTTAATGTAACAAAACTCAAACCCATCATTTAATGTAATAAACTACTTAACTATTCATATTTTATTATAGTGTTGTTAGAGAGAAAACGTGAAGACCTAAATCTTGAGTAAGAGATATGTACTGTGAGATATTTGTATTACTTAAACTTTGAATGCGTATAGTTATATATAAATTAAAATAATACAAACCTTGGTTTCTGCCATTCCTATATCCAAAATAATAGGTTTCTAAAAGATAAAAATCAGCACAATATTTTTTTCATTAAAATTGAAAAAAATTTGATTAATCAAAATTCAATTGAATAATTTTAATTTGAAACAAAATTGTATATTATGTATTATTTCTATACTACTCTGAGAAAAATTTATTATAATTTTATTTATTATAATTATAAGTGTTATAAATATTAAATTGCTGTGTATTATTAGATTTTAAATTGCTATGTGTTATATATGTTAAATAGCTATGTGTTATATATGTTAAATTACTATGTGTTATTAGTTGTTTTAAAACTAATGATTTTTTTGACAAGTTAAAAAAAAAGTGCAACAGATAGCACAAAAAGTTTTGAAAAATATGTAATTTAATAAAGTAATTTATAAAACAATTATTGGCTTATCTTTAGAATAGAATTCTATTCCAATTCATAAGATATAAATTAATATTTTGAAACATGCCATATCTCTAAAATAAAGCCTTAAAAATAATATTATTTCAGTATAATAATTTTAAATCTAGTGAGCTATGTCATATCTAAAACAAAGAAACCTTGTGGTATTTCTTAACTACAAATATGTAATACATATATGTCCAGAATTACTTCACAAAAACTTTCCAATATCATTCAATGATTTTTTTACAAATACAAACTGTCATTAACCTCTTTGTTTTAGCAGTAATTTAACATAGTTGTTACAAAACATCTGATAAGTATGGAAATAAATCTATTAAATATCAAAGTACTAACTTGTAGAACTAACTAGATCTCGATCTCTTAACAAATCTCTGAATTTATAATCAAGCTTTTAAATTTTTAATTAGTTGTTTAAAAAATGGAATTGAACATTGCTACAGTTCTTTATTATATCAATTTTTCAAATTAAACATTTCTACAATTCCTTATTATATCAATTTTTCAAATTAAACATTTCTCCAATTCTTTATTATATCAATTTGTAATTCTTCAAATTTTCATTCTGCTTTTTTTAAAATATTTTGAAATTCTTTATTCATCTACCAATTTCTAGTTTCTCTGGTTTTCACACTTATATTTTAAATTTTAAATTTTGACATTCTTTATTTTAGTTTTAATATTTTGACATTCTTTATTTATCTATCTATTTATTTATCTTGTTTTTTCATTCTGCTAAAATATTCTGGCAGCTGTCATTTTTTTTTTTCAATGAAATTCTACTATCATTATTATTATTTTTATTGTTATTATTAGTTAATTTGTTATTCATGAAAGTATAACATATACAAATACATAGCTTGAGTATTATTACTGTTGTTACTTTTACTATTATCATTACAATAACAATAAATATCACTATTATCATTATATTATTAATAATTATTATTATAATTATTACTATAACTACTATTAATGATAACTTTTCAAATGTATACAAATTGTTCTAAATTTCGAATTTTCGATTTGAAATTTTTAAATTTAATCGGTCAACAACAACAGTTTCATTTTGTGGCAAAATTGAGTTTAAATAATTAATTCAAATAAACATGGAGCATCTAAAAGAGAACGATGTTAGAAATGTGATTGGAAATTTTTATAAACAAAACATAAACAGTGGAAAGAAATTTACAGTGGATCATTTTAAGAAAATGGGAATCGCTAAATCTACAATTTATGACATAATTAAAAGGTCTGAAAATAATTTGCCAATGAAAAGAAAAATCGGTTGCGGCAGAAAACCTTTTAAAATCACACCAGAAAAGATAGAGTCCATGATTGCAAGAGCAGAAGAGAGAATCGGGATTTCACAAAGAAAATAGGCACTAAAATATAAGATAAGCATTTCATATGTAAATAGATTATTAAGTATGCATGGACTGAAGTATACCAAAAGAAAAAATGCACCAAAAACAACAGAAAAGCAAGAAATTAAACAAAAGAAAAACTTATTAAAACTTTCAAAAACTTTTTTCAAGCCATCAAATGAGTTTGAAATCATCATGGACGATGAATCTTATTTCTGTGTAAATGGTGCAAATTGTTTACAAAACTCTGGCTACTATACAAAGGATAGTTCTCAAACTGATCCTAACATTAAATTCAACTTCAAAAAAAAGTTTGACAAGAAAGTTCTCGTTTGGATTGCAATCAGTTGTTTCGGTCATTCATCACCTTATTTTGCTGTAAAAAACTGTGCACTGGATGCAAAAACTTATTCTAAAGAATGTATTACAAAAAGTCTTCATCCATTTATAAATTCCAAGCATCAAAACATGAAAATTTTATTTGGGCCTGGCGGAGCAAGATGTCATTATGCAAAACACACATTAGAAACTTACAACAATTTAGGTATTAACTTTGTCGACGATAAAGATAATCCCCCAAATGTACCGCAATTAAGGCCAATTGAAAATTTTTGGGCACATTTAAAAGTAAAAGTTTATGGAAATGGATTTACTGCAAAAAATCTTGACCACCTTAAGAATAGAATTCGATTAAAGTTGAAAGAGTTCGATCCAGACTACTTTTTCAACCTAATGGATTCAGTCAAAACTAAAGTTCGAAAAGCCTCTGATTTAGGACCACTTTCGGTTATAAAATAGTTATCGATGTCCAGTCTCTCATTTTAGGTAAAATTTTTGTCAAAAATCGATTAATTTTGTATTCAATTAAGAACAATTTTTCATTCCGGATTTTTTGTGAACAGACGTTATCATATTACTATTACTAATACTATTTTCAAAATATTTACAAAGATCATGTTAACATCTAACACTTAACCCGTTAACAGTCCATGCCGTAATATTACGCAAACGAAAAGTAGTTTCTAAATGTCCATGCCGTAGTATTATGCAAACTAAATATGGTTCCAAAATGTCCATGCCGTAATATTACAGTTTTATGCATCTCCTTATATTTCCTTCTTGTTCATCAGTAATTATACGTCTACTTATCACAAAACTTATTACTACATAATTTAAGAGCTTTTGTTTCAATAATTCACTTTTACGTGTGTTTACTTTAATTTTAAATATGAAAAATAAGGAAGTTCATTCAGTACAAAAATAATTACCAAAATGTAAATACTTACTCACTAAAAGATAGAAATTTATACATTTGATGAATCAATAATGAAAAGATATTTTTGATGAATAAAAATTGAAAATGATAATAAAAGATTAATACTCAAAGAAGGTGTGCAGTACAAACGCAAAGGTGTGCGGTTTAAACGCAAAGGTGTGCGGTACAAATGCAAAGGTGTGCGGTACAAACGCAAAGGTGTGCGGTACAAACGCAAAGGTGTGCGGTACAAACGCAAAGGTGTGCGGTACAAACGCAAAGGTGTGCGGTACAAACGCAAAGGTGTGCGGTACAAACGCAAAGGTGAGCGGTATTTTACAAACGCAAATTTAAAAAGATTCATGATATGAATGTTTAGAATGTAATGTAAGACTTAAAGGGATCCCAAACTCCCAACACATGTTGTGTTCATATTAAAGATAATGTTAAAAAAAATTGTTTGAACCAAATTTTTTTGATTAAAAATAAATAATGAATGCATACCGTGAAAAACAAATGTTGTTGTTTTTGCCGAAGCTCGTCTTCTCCATTTTTTTGAACTAATCGGAGTCTTCAAATTATGCGTCGCAATCTACAGACTTTGGCAATTCCTTTGAAGCGCGTTTAATTCATAAAAGTTTTAGTATTTGACGTCACGGTAGACTTTTAACAAAAGAAACTCTAGAAATATTTTTGTTTATTTTTAGTCGAAGTTTTTTTGATTATTTGTTTAGTTTTTTATTTTTCTACTTTTAATATGTAAAAAGATAATAAAAACCTTAAATATTTCATGCTGGTTCGTTACTATAAATTGTTATTGCGCCATATATTTAATGTTTATAAATTATGAATATTTATTATCTCAAAAATTGTTTTACATTAATTATAATCAATGTAAAACAAGGCATTTTATTTTTATTGCTTAGACGTTCTAAATAATAAGTAAATTTAGTTCAAGTTAATAATTATTAACTTGAACTAAATTTACTTATTATTTAGAACGTCTAAGCAATAAAAAAAAAATGCCCCTAAAATTATGCGAGATTGTGTTGTTTATTTGGTAATTATTGTTGGTAATGTTGTTTATGTTGATTATTTTCATAAATATCAAAATAGCTCCAGATTAATCCGTTCGTTGCTTTGCTCATTGTTGATTTATTTCTATCACAAACTATAATTATAAGTTAAAAAAGAAAAGTTTTTATTTCATCGCGCGCTCTTTTTATAAAAGAGTAGAACAAAATAGAAAGAAAATTTTCGCGCAATTAAACTTTGAATGAGTAAGAGTTGTATAGAATATATATTTTTTTTGCTTCACTCGTTCTTTTTTTAGATGAGAGAAATAAAAGTTTAATTGCTTGAAAAATTGCTTGAAAATTTGTATTTGTTAATTGTGTTTTTAAAAATTTTTAATTTTTCATGTTAAGAGACAAATGCCAATTACGACACAAATTTGGAAATACCAAATATAATATGTTTTTTAATGCGTGTTATGACATTTTAACAATTTAAATTACCATCTATCTTGAATTATTGCCTTAAATAAATGTGTTAATTATTGCGTTATTTAATAATAATTTCTCCGTATTTTTGTTAAATATTAGTTGTATAAAACGGGCAAAAATATACAAACTTCATGTTTTTTATTTGATGGTTATAAAATATTGAACAGTAAACTTATAATCAAAATTTATAGTGCCGACTTGTGTTGCAATTAATTGTACTTTTAATGCAAAATCAGGATCTCACAAATCCTTTCACAAATTTTCATATCTGATATACTGTCAACTGTATTGCTTAGTGTATTCTTGTACTTTTTTTTCATAATCTTAACAGGTTCTAATTGGTATGGAGTTGCTGACATTATAAAAATTTCATTATCAAAAATCAAATGTAAAATAAAATGGTATTTCCTTTTTATCCGTATCCAATTCAGCAAATTTAGCAATTTAAATTAAATCAGCGTGATCAAAAAAATTTTATAATGAAAAAAGTTAACAGTTCATTAAATATCTCTAATTAATACTGTCAGTTTATGAAAGTAATTGTTAACAAATACTTTTTTTCGACGGAAAAACAAAAAATTGTCATAGCGTAAAAATAACCAGAGAAGTTAGAAAATAGTTCCCATTGTTTAAATAAAAATAATTAAGAATCGGAATATATAATACTGCGCTCTCTTGCGCAAAAACAAGAGACCGTATATAAAACGTTCTATATAATGTAAAATACTCGTATGAAAATCATGAGATTGGTAAGTAAAGCTTTAATATTTGTTTTAATTTAAATAATTAAAGAAATATAAGTAAGATATATAAATCTAAAAATTATTAAGATATCTGTAAAAAATAAGTTGCTCCTATAAAATAAAGATAATTTATTGTTTTTACTTTTTACAAAATTTTTTTTTGCGATGTTTGGAAAAATAATACAAATAAATTTGTTTTGCTGTATGTTAAAAAAATACTACAGTAGAAAAACGCAGCTTAGTTTAATTTTTCTTTTCTAATTTTAATAATTACACTTTTCTTTTGTTAAAAGTCTACCGTGACGTCAAATACTAAAACTTTTATGAATTAAACGAGCTTCAAAGGAATTGCCAGTCTGTATTGAAAAGTCTGTAGATTGCGACGCATAATTTGAAGACTCCGATTAGTTCAAAAAAATGGAGAAGACGAGCTTCGGCAAAAACAACAACATTTGTTTTTCACGGTATGCATTTATTATTTATTTTTAATCAAAAAAATTTGGTTCAAACAATTTTTTTTAACATTATCTTTAATATGAACACAACATGTGTTGGGAGTTTGGGATCCCTTTAATGCAGCTCCATGCTTTTCCAATTCTAATACAAAAAGTGAATATTAGTGAATAAATTTTTATAATTTTGTGTTTATGTATTATGATTTATATGTTCTTAAACTTGAATAATGACGTTTTGTAGTGTTTAATAATGTTAAAAACAGTAAAAAAACTTTTTTTTATTTTACTTGTAAACAAACACAATGATTTTAAAAACACGGGACATTTAGAGACCACTTCGAAAAAAAAAGCTGGACTTATAGCGACCGTATTTTTAAAAATACACGAGACTGTTAAAGGGTTAACATTAAATTTTTCAATAAAAGGTATAGATAACTCTAAGTATTTATAATAAATATATTTTAAAATAAAAACTTTCTTCTGAGACAAAATATTTGAAATATTAGTTTTACCTTTTATATATTTTAACTTAATTTTTAGTTTTATCTCATATTGTATTTTTTCAAGTGAAAAAAATAAATTTAATTACAAAACATGTAGAGCTTTTTATTTTTTTTTTTTTTTAATTTTTTACATTTTAAATTTCTCAAATTACTAATAAATTTGACAACAACAATAAAGTAAAATAAAAAAAAAAAACCTTATATAATTTTTTTTCTTCTTCACTCTCCTGCCTTGAAAGCGATGAATCGTCATTATCATAATCATCCTAAAATAGTGTAAAAAATTATAATAAAATATAACTAAATAAACAGAAAGATAAGTCCCCTTTCTTTATTTTATAGTAAATATTGATTTGCACATAAAGTTAATTAGGTAGACTTCCCCTTTTTGCACAACTACTAGGCATCAAATCAACTCAGTTAATAAAGATATCCTGAAGAATATTATTCTAACATTAAAAATCTGATTTCATAAGATTTTTAACCATACATGTTTGTATCTCAGTTTTTTAATTTGGTTTTCTAAACCATTACAGGATTGTTAGCTTTTTAGTAATTATATCCAATTATTATTCTAAACCATCACAGGATTGTTAGCTTTTTAGTAATTATATATCCAATTATTAAAACTTATAAGATCAATCATGAGCTGGTAATAACTTTTAAATTTCTTTTAGTAAAATAATTGAATTTGGTGGAACGCATTGCCAAAATCAACATTCTTAATCAATTAGTAATAAATTATTTATTTAATAACTGTGTACAATAAAAAATATACAAAGCCTAGGTTTTAACAGTTAATGTATCTAACTTTGATTTGATGTTTTTAATTGTCTTAGATTCTATGATGTTTTAGTCTAAGCTATTTCAATTATTAATTACTTGATTTGATAAGAGTATCGTTTTGGACTTTTTGTTAATTGTCAATATTCGTTGTGTCTTTTTTCAACAGTCATTTTAATTTAAGAAACATTTGTCTCGCTTTATGCTGAAAATTTTTTATTTATTTTGCTTTACATTGTATTGCATTTTTTGTTCTAAATAAAAATACCTAAAGTTGCATAGATATGATACAGTCTTACAAGAGAAGTTTACTTGCATTTGAAGACAAACTTGAAAATTCAATGCTACAGATAACATATTGCACTCTGTTACACAATAAACTTGTGTACAAGTTTATTATATTATAGAAATACACTATCTAAGTGCTTTCTTTTTAATACCAAAACTTTTTTGTTTGAGACACAATCTGTTATGAGACATGAAATCAAAATTATGTGAAATATCTTAGAATATGATATGTACTGGTAATTTTTTTTCTACTGCATGTTTAATTAGATCCCTAGATTCTAAAAGGTTTGTACAACAGTTTTTTTGCGAGTAAATCCATGCTGCTCCTTAGTCAACAGTTGTTTTTTTCTAAATGCAACATAAAAGTAGCTTTTGAGATGTTTTTGTTCCATTACATATAACAGAAGTAAATAGTACTAGTTAAAGCATGTTAGATTTGATTTATCTCTATTTTTGAATAAGGGCATTTTTATATATATTCAAGCACATTGACACTGATGTAACATTGTAACAGTAAAATATGGTTTATTAAAAATAAATAACAAAAGAAGTGAAAAAGGAAGTGAAAAAAAAAAAAAAAAATACCAATCAGAACAAATCTACAAAAAAAATTTCAGATGTTTTAGATGCTCAAGAAATCTATATAGCCTAGATAGTATTAAAAAAAGTTTTACACATTTTCTATTTAATGATTTTGATCCACAAATGTTTAAATTAAACATGGTCACTCATATAAAATAGTGATATTAATTAACTTTTACATTGTATAGTTCATGAAAATAAAATAAATAGCTTGAGATTTATTAATTTTTTTGTTAATCTTGTGCTAAAATATTATTTTAAAAATAGTTTAATAAAAATTAGTAAGTAATAAGTAAAGTCACAACATTAACTAGTAATATACTACTTAAGCATGAAGAAAAGTCACAACATCAACTTGTAATATACTATTTAAGTAAGAAAAACATTCTTCTTACATTCTTCTTAAAAACAAATTTCTTTGTTGCTATTAGTAGTAAGAAAAAACATCCTGTCTCAACATTAGCAATAAAACATCATGTCACAACATTAACTAGTATAGAAGGTAATGTCAAAGTTTAAATTACTTTATTTATTTTAAACTTAAAAGATGATTTACTTTATTTTGATTTTATATAAAAAGAAAGAATGTAAATATTTTTTGCCAATAGTGCAAAAACAATTTTTCTCTTTTCAAAATAGGTTTAAAAAATAAAGAAAATGAAACATGTAATAAAAAAACTATGCAATAATTGCTACACAACAATTTCCATTGGTCAATATTAACTATTCGTATAATTCTATTTGGACAATTGTTAAAAATTGGACAACCATTATTAATGGCAACACAATGTAACTTCCTTGGGCATTTATATTAGGGTGTCCCAAAAAGTCAACTCTTTTACAGAATCAAAAGGTTTAAAAATTATGTTGTATCTGATCTCAGGTTTCTTTATATTCAGGTTTTCTTCAGGTTTCTGTATAATTAAAGATTTCTCATCATTAGCTACACCTGAATCTACAAGTGCTACAACAAGATCTTCAACCAAGTAACATATGTTTTAAAAGAGAAAAAACCTAGTTCACACATTCTTATGTTGTCTGTTCTGACTTTGCAAAAGGTATTCTGGGTAATGACATTGCCATTACCCAGAACACTTATATTACTTATGCTTAGGTATACTTTAGCTTTCTGTGCAATCTGATGCATGTAAGAATTGTTTTTGAAGTTATATAATTAAAACTTTTGTAAGGAGCTTTTGCAAAAGTCTTCTTTCAAAATGAATTGTTTTGTTGTTTTGCAAGTTGCTCTTTACGTTATTATGGAACTTAAATTTTTTTATAGCTTAAACATTTACAAATACATTCTAATGGCATGATGCCAAAATCATCATATCTATCGTATTGTTGGTCATTGAAGGTCGAAGTCAGAAGTCATTTTTTTGGTAGTTATGTAACATGTAAAACTAATAACAAAAAATATGCTACTATCTAAACTAGTAAACCAATAGTTAAAAAAATTATGTAAGATAATGATTTACAGAGAGAACCTAATATGTTCGTTTTTTCTAAGAAATAAACAAGAGTTTACTTTATTTGAATTGTTACATGTTATTTTGATGAGTAAATATAATTTGTTTGAAGTGTTACATGTTATTTTGAGTATGTTACAGGATTGATTTCGTAAGATATAAAATAAAATACTCTTGAGTCATTACTGATTATAGTTTAACAGTTACTAATGTTAATTAAATTACTAAAATACAATGTTTTATATATATATATATGTATATATATATATATATATATATATATATATATATATATATATATATATATATATATATATATATATATATATATATATATATATATGTATACATATGTATATATATATATATATATATAATGTATATGTATACTCTTCTTTTATTCTTTAATCTACTCTGGCTTCGTAAACGACCAGGGCTGGTATTTGATCTGGGCCAAAGCCGGGTTTATGACTGGGGCTGTATGGCTGCATAAATATTGGTGCATATTGATATGATATATATGAAAAAGTCAATATGCACCAATGGTTATGCAGTACCCTCCGTAAAGTGGCCTTGGCCACAGTCAAATACCAGCCCCAGTCCTTTACTACTCTGGCTGCTCATCTTTATGTACACTTCTATTATCGCATACCATCTCTATCACCCTTATAACTTCTATCAACTCTACATCTCTACTATCTCTATTGCTTCACTGTACCTTTTATATATTTTTAGAGATGTTTGATGCATCTAGGTAAGATGGTTATTAAACAACTTTGCCTAGCATTTTTGCTGGACGTTTTACACCTCAGTAACAAGTAAATATAATTTAACCCATAATGTAACATGTAACACTTCAAATAGAAATTTTGAAATTAAAAAAACAAGTGTATTTAAACTTTTTGCACAAAGCGTAAAAAGAAATTTGTTTGTTTTAAAAAACTTTATCAATATTATAGTTGCATGATGCTTAACATTTTTTGACAATAAACAATTTTTTTAATAATAGCTTAATACTTCTACAATAAGAATATACATAAAACATATGTTATCTTGAATTTTCAATCTTGAAATTTTTTTTTTTTTTTACAAAAACACAAAAAACTTATTACTTCAGACAAACTCAATTCATCTTTTAGCATATGCATACCATCTAAAATCTAAAAAAAGTAAAAACAAACATGTATAACATGATTAAGTAATAAAGTAGTTAAGACATAGTATTAACTTTATCAGATATATTGTCGGCTCGGGATGCAATTGTCGTATCGCAAATTTAATAAAGTTATATATAAATATGTAATTATCTAATATATGTAAATTTAACATCATATATTAATGAAAAAAGTTTTTTTTAAAACGTTATATTTAATAATTTATATTAAATAATTTTTTACATTTACATAACTTTAAACTTACATAAATTACGTTATTACAGATTTATATATAATTGTAATAAATTTGCGATATGACAATTGCATCCCGAGCCGACAATATTTTGAAACTGTTTTTTTATAAATTTGTAAAAGTTTCAGATATATATATATATATATATATATATATATATATATATATATATATATATATATATATATATATATATATATATATATATATATATATATATATATATATATATATATATATATATATATATATATATATGGGAAACTGATTATTAAATTCTTTTTTTTAATTTAGCATTTTTAGTAGAATTAGTAATATTTAATATCCAAAGCAAAAACTACTTTTAATATAGGTTATTTTAAAGAAGTGATGGTTTAGGGATATTTTTTGGGGTATTTCCAGTTTGAGACCATTATATAAAATCAAGGGCATTATACCACTTTGTATATAAAGATATTTTGGAAAAATAAATGGTTCCTTTTGCTGGTGATAAAATGCTTTTAAGATAGCAATTTCAGCAGGACAATGAAACTTTTATCAAAAATTATTGAAATATGGTTTAATACTAATAAAATTAGTTTAATGAAATCGCTAGTCAAGACCTCTCAAGCAAAGAATGTAACCTTTCTTCATCTAATAATCTGGCATGGATGTAAACCTGTGTTAAATTGTTTTCTGCCTAGGATGACGCTGTTTACAAATTTAGATGTAGCAAAACCCTGATTAATCACGAGGTAAAAAAAAAAAGAAAAAAATAAATTACCATAAAATGATGACATGCAAACAAGAATTGGCAAAAAATGTGATAGTCTGAATTAGAATCTACAAGAAACTCTGAATTATTGATGATCAACCTTATTTAACTTTAGCTCACAGTACAACTAATGGCAATAATACTACTTACTCATGAAAAAAAGCCAAGATAAAATATAAGCTATAAAATTTAACCAAAAAATGTTTACTGGGTTTACATTCCTTATAACAGGTCATAATTATTATTAAAAGGTATTGATCATAATTATGATCAATACTCATTTTAACTTCACCTAGCTTTATCACATTATGTCAAACAGTCGTGTTATTCTTTGAAGAAAATTCCATAAAAATATAAAGCTAAGGTAATAAGCCACTAAACATCCTATAACACTTTCCAATTGAGGATGTTTGGAGTATTTTAAAAGTAATTGTTTACTTGAAAAACTGGTAAGCAAAAAATCTAAAACAACTGAATAAATACTATTTCTGTTAAATTTGCAGTTTAAAAACTTATAATTTTCAGGGATTTTTATTAAACATCTGTAAAAGTTAATGTTCTATCTAAAAAAACAAAATTGTGCTAATGTATTATTGTTACTTTTGTTACACATTTCACTATTGTGTATATATTTTTTTCTAAACATCTCTTAAACATATCTCAACATTTAATTTTCTGTAAACATCTGTTTAAGATATCTCAACATTTATATTTCTTTAAACACCTGTTCAGTATATCTTTATTCATTTCATTAACATATCTTTTTTTTTTTCACTTTAAGTTTTTCTATTTCTTTTTATTTATGTTTTTCAATTTTTCACATACTTGAGACTTTTTTAAAGATTTCTTTCTTAATACTTTGATATACTCCTTGAGTGATTATGCAATTTTTATAACATTTAATTTTATCGGATATGATATATAACAAGGCTTAACCAATAAGCATTTAGCCTTAACATTCTGATTGCGGTTTCATTCTATTAACTTTTTAAATAATAATTCTAAATAAAGATAACAAAAAAAGCTAATTACCTCAGACAAACTAAATTTAGCCTTATCCATAGGTACGCTTTTCGTTTTCTAAAAAAAAGGGAACATATTTAGCAAAGATGAAAGATTGGATATTTATGTCATACCAAATATCTGATAAAAATATGTTATAATAGCCCATAACAAAGTCATCAGCTAAATATTTTAATTTAATTAGTTTTATTTTCAACTATTTTTAATAAAAATTTTAATAAAATGAACTTCATTTTTTTTTTTGAAGCAATTATACATGCAAACTCCTACACTTTTTTTAATACAAAAAGAAAATAATTAACATAAAATTTATTGACAAACTTATTTAGTTTATACTGCCTTCAAAGATGCACCTTAAAACATTGCAGGAAACCTTCAATGTTCTAAGCTTTTTAGGATTTTAAAATTTATTTTTAGGAAACCAAAAATCCGTAGCTGTAATTGTAGGTTTAATAAATTTTTATTTACTTGAAAAAACCAAAAATGCTAATAAAAAGTAAAAAAAGTTTTAGTTACCAAAACTTATGGTGAAAACTGTTCAAATATTAATGACAACATAAAAAAATCAATTACAACTAAAAAAGAATCTAATAAAAAACTTAATTAAAAAAATCAATTACTACTTAGGGATTGTCCATAAATTATGCAACGCAAAAAATATTTTAAGAACAAAAGTAGGAGATATTAGGCTCTTTTACGCAGCGATTTTCATTTAACTTAATTTCCTATTTTGATTATTTATTTAAATTAAGACTCTGTGAGGGAAAACTTTTGACCTTTTTTTGTTTTGTTTATTGTGAAATTTTGCGTTACATAATTTATGGACGATCCGTTTTCTAAAAAAAGAATCTAGTAGAAAACTTAATTAAAAAAAATCAATTACAACTTATCTAAAAAAAAGAATCTAATAGAAAACTTAACTAAAAAAAATCAATTACAACTTATCTAAAAAATAATCTAATAGAAAACTACATATAAGAGTTTCTTATCTCAAGCTCACTCCAAATGATGAATAAGGTAACACTGATTTTATTTTCTTTTTCTACCCGTGCAATAATATTAATAATGATTAATTTACTTAATTAGTAAAAATAATTTAATAACTCCGTAAATAATTTCCATGTAAACTATATAAATATATTATCACCGAGGCATTTTTAAAATATTTTAAAAGTAATTTAAACAACTTTAATGATATAAGTTGAATAAAAAAATAACAAAATAATTATTATTTAAAAAAAATAGTTTTATTAAGACCAGACTCAAAAATACTAAAAATTCTTTAATTGTCTTTTTTTTACTTTATTTGAACTTTTAGGTTTAAAAAACTTTAAAAAACTTCAAGTATAACTTATCAAATATAAAAAGAAAAAAAAAAAGAAAGTTTGTAATAAAAAAAGTTAAACTGAATTTTTAAATAATATTATTGTTAGCATAACTTTTTTAAGACTATAAAAAGTTTTAAGATCATTGAAAGCAGTTTGGTGGAAAAAGTATAAGTAAATGCTTTTCTGTGGTGCACAGTAGCAAAACCAAGTCTTTTGTACTACACTCTCCAAACATAATACATTATTTTAAAATCCTAAAATAATGTTTTTTTTTTTGAATTTTTAACAATTTTTATTTAACTCTCTTTGGACATCTAAGTCTCTTCGAACATCTGACTTCTGACATCATTAACTTTAATGCTTTATAAACTAAAATGCAAATATTTTATTATAACCATTGAAGATAAATTTAAAAAGGGAAAGGCAAAACTCAAAATAAATTTTTTAAAAATATAACTTTTTAATTCAAACTGTAAACACACACATTTAATATTTTAACCAGATATTTTTATTTTAAAAAACCCGAGTAGAATTGTAATCCTAAAGTTAGGCTTGAAAATAAAAATTAGATAAGGCAAAGAAACAAAAAAAGCTGAAATTTATTTGTTAATGTGTTGATAAATTATTTATTTTGGTAAATTTAGTTAACTAAAAAATCAAAAATTGCCTAACATTTAGTACAACTGCAATACTAATATTCATAGTTGGCTATTAATACTAAAATTCTTAGTTAGCTATTAATATTAAAATTTTTAGTTATTAGTTAGATGTGGTTCTAACAAACAAAATTTTGAAATAGTATTTTAAATTAAAAACTTTAAATATCATTAGCTCATTTTTAGAAAAAAAACTTACAGTTTCAAATCCCATATATGGTAGAATATCAACAGTTTCCATGAGAACAAGTTCATTAATGGTAGGAGCAGTAACATCTTTACCTTCATTTTTCTTAATTTTTATAAAACTTATATAAATTTCACATAATTTTATTATTTTAAACTTTTTAAAGTACTCAAAAGCCTAACTTTTTTTGATTAAAAAAATAAACCCAATTTAAATATAAAATTATATAACCAATATAATATAACCAAAAAAAATGAAAAATTAAAAACTATTTCTAATAGTAAAACCTCTCGTTCTTCAACAGCTATAAAACTTGTAAATTTAGTCACAATTGAGTATTCAATGCTAAGTTGAATTATTTTTCCTTTCATTTCTGCTTTTATTGCCTGCATAAGATTTAAAAAAAAAATCATAAATTTCAAGTTTAAATAAATAAATAAAATTATTAATCCCTTACAATAAAAAGAGTGTTAAATGATTTTAAAATAAGAGTACATAATTACCATATTTCTGTAAATAAATTGAAAGTTGTTTAAACTCTATTTGTGGTCTCAACAATGCGCACTTAAACACCAAGCAACACCATTTTGTAAACATGACGCTGTTATTACATATAATATAAAGGTGCTTACTTAATCAACTTTTCTCCGAGCAGGAACAAGTCCAAACATGTTTTGGTACCAGTGGACCCGTATGGGCGCCCAAAAATATTTAAAATACTTTTTTTTAATTATTGTAAAATAAAAAAATGAACTTTAAAATGAAGTACTTGACAAATTGTTTATTTAAGCTAGCTGATTTAAAAAAAAAATGATAGATTAAGAATATACATGATTAATGACCTAAGTAGTTAAACTATAATTTAGTTACCAAACGAACATACAACCTTGCCAGACAAGCGGTTTACTTAAAGCAGAGCTATGACTTGGCAGCATTTAGTGCCAAGGGGTGTTAATGGTTTGTTGTAGGTAGGTTGTGTTGTCTAGCCTTTTTTAATTATTCTTGAAACTCACTGTCTATTAATATTATGCATTGTGTGTACTTACAAACGCGTAATGTGTTATTAAAGTTATATAATGTGTTTTAAAAGGTTATAAATGTTTCTAATTTGCATCTATGTCTATTTTATGTCAAATGTGTAGAGCAAGTGTAATGTTTACTTACAAATCTGTAATGTGTTCTTAAAAATATCTTATGCATTATCATTGTAACAGTATTGTGGAGGTGACTTGTTGATAGTTTGGCTTACCTTCCTGTTGGTGCATTAAAACTTTTTTCAATTAGATTGTTTAAACAGCCTTTTGAAATAGTTTATGCAGAAAACATTAGGCAGTAATTAATTTTTGTAAAAAAACATTTTCACCTCAATCATGAAATTGTTTTTTTTTTGGATAAAAAAACAGATTGTTAAACAAATATTTTTCTATTTTTTGTTTTAAAAATTTTTTGTTTATTTTATTATATTTAAATCAAATTATATATATATATAACTATATTATTAAATTTATATATATAATAAATTATATATTATAATATATATATAATAACTTTATATATATAATACAAATTATATATATAACAACTTTATTTTATTATATTAAAATGATTAAAATTATATATTATAATATATATATATAATAACTTTATATATATAATACAAATTATATATATAACAACTTTATTTTATTATATTAAAATGAAATTATATATATATATATATATATATATATATATATATATATATATATATATATATATATATATATATATATATATATATATATATATATATATTATATATATATATATATATATATTATATATATATATATATATATATATATATATATATATATATATATATATATATATATATATATATATATATATATATATATATATATATATTAAATATTAATAAATTAAAACTTATTTTATTAAATTTCTTGTAAATTTAAATTTCTTTTTACTCTTAAAATTTCTAAACTATGTTCAAGAAAAATCCTTTTAATAAATTTAATTTAATGAAGTTTTAAATTCAACTGTTTTTTTTATTTATTTAGAGTTACAAATCAATCATTTTTTTCAACTCTTTACAAAAATGCTAATATACAAAAGTGCTTGATGCACATGAATAAAAATGCATTGCAGGATAAACCCTGTAGAAAAAATTATTTTAAATAATTTTTTTAGTAAACTTTTAATGATAAATTTATGAAAAGATGATTTTTTTAGTTTTGAAATTGTTTTTTAGCAATAGTTTTTCCATTAAGGATCGTCTATAAAATACGCAACGCAAAATATATTTAAAAAACAGAAGTAAGAGATATTAAGTTTATTTACATGGCAATTTTTATTAAACTTAATGGGCTGTTTTGATTTTTTATTTAAATTTAGAAAACTGTTGACTTTTTTTTGTTTTGTTTATTGTGAAAGTTTGTGTTATATAATTTATGAAGGATTCCTTATCATTAATTTTATAGATTGATAATAGAATTTTTATATTTCTTGGCAAAAGTTTTAATGAAAAAAGGTTTAATTATGTTTTAAAACAATGTCATGTCTGACAAGTAACCTAGTCAAACAAATATCTTATTGATAACTGATAAACTCATCAATAGTTTGTTTAAAGTTGTTATAAAAAATAGTTTATTTATATAGTTGATAAAAAATTTAGCAATTGACCCTGAAGAATCTCATTTCAAAAAAAACAACAACTAAATTGTGAGTAAGAAAACATAAGAAGAAAATGTTGTGTTATGAATGTTTTAAAAAATAAATTGCATAAGTTTAAGTTTTTTAAAATAAGGAATTTTTTCTTTTTTGAAAAAAACATTTAAATTTTATAATTTTTTTTTGTAACAATATTGTTTAATTTAGAGATATCAAGACTTTACAAATTATTTTTTAATAAATGATTTATGCAGCAATATAATTTTTTAATAAATGGGAGGTAATTAATATTATTGCAGTAATTTAAAAAGTTAAAGTCTTTAAAAAAAATAAAGAGAACTTTATGACGTCAAATTCACATAAAGTTAATGCATTAAGCAATTTTTTTTTAAAATAAGGCCTGCAAGTACCAATATAAAGTCATTTAAACTTTACCAATATAAAGTACCTGCACAGTCCAATATAAAGTCAACTTTTTTACCTCATGTTTGTACTGATCTTGGTGCAACATCCCATCATTCCAATCATTAATGACAGATTTTGCTGCAAGTCGATGTATTGTCTGTAATAAATTATTAATCAAAATATCTTTTATAAAATTCTATAAGGTTAAAATTTTGCTAAATGATCTGATCACCTAAATAACAATTTTATAGTTAAATATAATTTAACTTAATTATGTTATTTTTAAAAACTGTGTTTACTGCAACCATTTTAACATGATTAAATTTTTTCTATGCAACAGCAACAAAAAAATCGTTACCAATCCTACTGTTGTACTTAATTCTGATGTTGATACTATTGTATTCAACTCTTTACCATTAAGAATAGCCGATAAATTTGCCTAATTATATAAAAATCAATGAATGAACCAATAAAAAACATATAAAATTTTAAACTTATAAACCACATTTAGACATGATAAAAAATAAATATTCAAGTTTTATAAATAAATTTTAAATATATACCATTGTACAATGTGGAACAAAGCCATAAACCACTAACCGATTGCCATTAAATAATGTAGTAATCTCATTTGGTGCCTTAAATAAATTTTTTGAGCTAACAATTAATGCTATGTTATTGTGTCATTATAGCAAATGGAGGACAAAAGATTTGGCTTACTTGATTAGTTAAAGCCACACAAAACTTTTATTTATATACACTTTTATTTATAAAAAGAAATATATACTTATAAATTATGTATAAAATATTTGTTGTGTTTAGTTGGATATAAAGGTCTACAAAACATATCAGGAAAAAATCTTGATCAAATTCTTTATTTAGCATGAGATATTCAAAATGCCTACTTCCAAAAATGGAAATCATTATATAGAGATTTTAAACAAAGTCTTGGATAAGTAAAATATAAACTTGTACTTTTCATAAGTACAAAATCTCCAAAAAAATCAGAGCCAATAGTAAACAATAATGTTAATAATATCTTTAATAGTAATATTAATAATGTGAAATTAAGTTAATATTATATATCAAAGTAATATTATAAACAGTAAAATGAAAAAAAATTTTAATCAATCATTTAAAACTTACTATAAAACTCAAAAGAAAAATAATCAAATTTAATCATACCAGAAAAGTAAAGTATTGAAGTCTTACTTGAAGTGGTTTTGGTGCATCTTCATCATGTTGAATCCAATGTATTTTAATGTTTGTCAAAACTGGCTGCTGACACTTTTCCAATTGAAGTTCTACCTGTACCAATAAAAAAACTTTGACAATTAAAAATTATATAAGTTATTAATAAATTATAATCAAAAATATACGCTCAGTGGTAAACAATGTCATTTTAATGAATCTAATCCCTGTAAAAAAAAGAAAAGTATTTACCTTTTTTTGCCATTTTGACTTTGCATTTTTATCAAAATACTCAAAATACCCAGATCCTAAGCATGCCATTTTTTGTAAAATGTGTTTGTTAGGAGTTGTGCTAAAATGTTTAACATTTATATATATATATATATATATATATATATATATATATATATATATATATATATATATATATATATATATATATATATATATATATATATATATATATATTAAACAATATTTTTAGACTTTTTAAGCATTATAAAAAAGGTTATATCAAAATAGTGTTTACATACATAAACAGAAATTTTGTTTTTTAAAGGTTTCAAGGAAAACTATAGTTTAAATACTAGTTTCCATAAAAACATTTGGTATAAAAATTTAAAATATTTGCTATAAAAATTCGCTACAAAAAAAAGTACATTCATTTTGTTTTGGAGACCCTTGTTAGACACTACTGAAAATTTTTTTTTACAATGTTGGACAACTAAACATTAGTCAAACTCATATCCTATAAAACTGCATTTTAATATTTACAAAAAACTACCACAAAACTACCCTAAAGGTACAAAATTAAAACATTTTCAAACTGTTGCCCCTCTAATTCTAATAAATATAATTCCCTTAAATAAAGTTACAAGGATAAAACATACCCAACACCAAATGTGAACAATCGAACATTCTTTTTTAGGTTACGTATTCTTGCTAAAGTGCTGATCTCATCAAAAATATGACCATCAGAAAAAAGAAACACATTCTTCATGGTAGATTCACAAGAAAGCATCTCAATCATCTTTAATACACTCCATAAATGTGTTCCTCCATTACAGTTTTTTAGTAACTAAAAATTAAGAATAATCAAAGATAAGATAAATTAAAAAAACAAACAAAATGACAATTTTTTTAAAATAAAGTTTATAAAAATACCTTAAGGAGACTCATAACTTGTTGCTTACTTTCATCCTTAAATCTTGAATATGGAAATAATTCTTTATAAGCTAAAAACATAAAAGTCAAATAATTATTTAGGGAACAAAATCTTACACAATCTATACAGAATCTTCTTGACTCAACTCATGGATTATCCAGTAGTGCTTTTGATTAGCACAAAATTCTATTTCCAAGACTGTTTTCTATTTGATGTTGTTTCATTGTTGATCAAGATCTTTTTTCTTTACCCATCTATCTATATTTATTACAATATTTTGCTTTTTGTGCTTCTTTTTCTTTTTGATAAAAACTATTATAAAAGCTCAAATGAAACTTCGCTTCCTTATATTTGCATCAAAAAATGCATGCTTTCGTAATCTATCTATATAATTCACAGCTTTTTAAATTTTTTATTTAATACCTTTTTGCTCTTTGATTTTCTTGCTTATTTTCTCAGTAAATTATATTATAAATTCATTTTTAAAAAGATGTCATGCAACCTTAAAAATGCTACCTGCAGTCTTGTTAAGAGTGAATTTGTAATCTTTTTAATTGCAATTCACTTTGTATACAAATTCAACATAATAATGTGAATGCAATATGCTCTAAATGGTAGATTAAATTTAGAGTAACTAAAGTATAAACTGAACTTTTCTCTTCCTCTATTAATTTATAACTTTGATTAACTTTAGAGCTTACAACTATAATTTGCTTTCAAGATCTGGATGAATACATCCATAGAAAATTATCTAAACATATAGATACTGAACACAATTATTGTTCCATATCCTTATTTTTAATTAAAATTTTCAATTAAAAAATAAGTCAATAAGATTAATTTATTAATTTAGGTAAGTTATTAAGGCTATTTAACTATTTAAACATATAATTAAGCTACTGCAATAATACTAATAATTTTTTTTTAAATAATTTCAATTTTCTTTCTGCTTTTAACACCCCTAAATTTATCAAATTTTGATTATTATTACAGATTTCAGATTTTATCTTAACTTTCAAGATTATCAACGATTAGCTTATAGAATTTAATTTAATTAGCTTTTACATTGAAATTTTTTGCTTAAAAATGTAAATTATTCAAATAATACCCCATTAATAACGATTCATAGTAATTTAAAATAAAACACAAATTCTTTATGTTAAAAAAACAACATCCCAATATTGTTTTACTGTTATTTGTACAGCTTTTATAAACATAATATGCATTTAAAATGAAATGCATTTTATTGTCAGTATGAACAGGGTAAAAATTAATTATTAGTAAAATTATTAAAAATAATTAGTTTTTATTTAAATACAGATAATTAAAAATTAAAAAACTCACTGTCATTGAATATAACCATGTTGAATTTAGTACTTTGTGGCATCTTTTCATATGTCAAATAAACAAGCTTTTGCAGTTCAATAAAATGGTCCTTAAACAGAACAGCTTATTAATTTCAATATATCATCCATATCATCATCACAATCAATATCTCATTATCATCATCATCATTACCACCAACAACATTATCATCATTATCATCATCAACATCATCATCATCATCATCATCATCATCATCATCATCATCATCATCATCGTTATCAAGAGATCAAGTAACCTACTTTCATTGAATTTGACGCATCAATAAGAAAAATAACTTCATGATCACCAATATCACCATCAAATTCAGGAAAAAAACTCAACATACAAGCCTAAAATATAAACATTATACAGAAACTTGTTGTATATATATATATATATATATTATATATATTTATGTATATATATATATATATATATATATATATATATATATATATATATATATATATATATATCTTATACTGCTGATTTAGGTGATGTCACACTGAAATAGCCTGCTGCCAGGGGCTTTAGTACATACATCGACTGAAAAATAGCTTGACTTACAACGGAGTGCTGCTACATCGACTAAGGGTTTGGCATGGGACAGCAATCTTTCATTCATTATTCTTTGTTTTTTCTTTTTCTAAAAAAGCTCTATGGGTTAAGATAAACAAAAAAAGTGAGTAAATGCTTATATAAATAAGCTTTAGTAGAAAAAAATAATAATAATATTTTATATAATTTGTGTACTGTTTTTATTTTTTATAATTTGTGTACTGTTTTTATAGAGTAGTTTTTATTTTCAGCAATGAAATTCAAATAGAAAAAAAAAAACAATTTTAAGTTGACATTAAAATGAATGATTTTCCTATATTTTATTTGTTTCTTTTTTAAAAGAGCAAAAATGTAAATTGCAATCTGTTTGTAAAATATGTTTGTATAACATTAACATAACAAGTATAAATTGTCTCTAAATGAAAATGTCTATGTAATATATGCATATACTTTTATGTATAACTTTTTATATTACATAATGATATTTATTTGTTATGAAGTATACGCACATTTTGCTTATTTGGATGAGGCATTTACTTCATAAAAGTTATGTCTGAGGTTCGAAACTAAAGACAAAAATAAATTAAAGTACACAAATTATATAAAATATAGATTTTTTTCCCATTCAAGTTTATTTTAATTTCCTATTAGTTTTGCTTTCTTTGTTTATGAAAATTTTTTCTGCAACACTTAATATAACAAAACTTGCAAACAGCTGTGACCAAGTTGTCTAAAGTAAAATACTCATGCGTGGACAGTAAATTATATTTATAAACAGATAATATAAGCTTTTAATGTTAATTTTTGAAAAATATCACCACCACCCCCCTCCCAGCTGAAAATAATTTTTCCTATCTTTTTAGTGTTATCCTAATGAGTTATAAATAACATAATAGACATACAAATTTAGTGAATTAAATTTAGTGAGACTCGAAAGCTAAGACTTCAACAAGATGTGCTATTGTTAAAATTATTGGTGAAATGAATAAAATGCCAATAGAACAGCATATCATTGATCAATTCAAAAGTTTGTCATCAAATGTAAAAAGTAGAAAGGAGAGAGTTGTAATTTTGGCTAAAAAAACTGAACTACTATGGAGAAAGCTGAATATTCCAATTCTACAAGGAAAATCAACATCAGAAAGAAAAATATAAAATATATTGAAAAAAATTGACAAAGCTAGTTGAAAACCCGGAACTCAAAATTTTACCCAATTGTTTAACATAACTGATGAAAAAGGTAAATGGTTGTGTCAGGAAGATAAAGAATTCTACTGTCAACAAATGAAAGAGTTGGGTATTGTACCACAATTGAAGATACTGAAGGTATTCATCCAAGAAAACTAGTGTTGATATAGTAACAAACTCCCATCAGCTGAGACCAAGATCTCGATGAAAAAGCTAGTGAAGGAGGTCATTCAGAAACTGAAAAGCAGTGTTCCAGTAGTGATACTGAAGCTGAAGATGTGGAAAGTTTGTCATCATCATCTAAAAGACAAAAAACAAATTTGGCTGTAAATTTGGTGATTTCTGCAAGGATTAGTACCAAAAAAGCACATTATGTCTGCAAAACTTTATCAAAAGGTGGAATTTATATCCCTACTCCAACTCAAATTGGTGTCTACAAAGGTGTCATGAAAGAAGGAGAAAAGCTGAAAGTAAATTATATGGAGAACTTAAAAAATGAAAAGGGGTCTTTACACTTTGATGGAAAGCACATAAAGAAATTGGAGCATCAAGTAGTTGTTTTGAAAAATAAAAAGAGAGATGTTAGACTTGCTGTTCTTACATTCATCCAGCACAAGTTTTATGGAATAAAGCTGGTTAAATATGAGCTGTGGCCACCATAAAAATGATTGTATCTGACACAACATCTGTAAATACCGAAATAAGAATTAGTCTAGTAACACCGTTACAGAAACATTTCAAAACTATTGGACTAGAAAAGCCTACTTTTATAGGATGCCAACACCATATTTTAGATAATCTTTTAAAACATGTCATGAATGATCCTTTTGAAAGTTCAACATCATCATCAAATCTTCATTACCTTTTAGTGACAAGATTATTGCAAGACTACGAGAACCTGAAGTTATTATTTCAGAATACTGGAGATCTTTTGACAAAAATAAATTGAACACGCTTGCGAGATGACATGGACTTCCTGCATCACTTAATAGCTTGTTATAGAAAGTTTAAAAGCACAGGTACCTTTCCAAAATTGAATTTTAAAGCATTTCCTGCTATAAGCAATGGAAGATGGAACTTGAGAGCAATTTTTGTTCTACTTACATTTTTATATCAGACTATCAAGAATTGAAATCTGCTTAAGCAGAATGCAACTTCATCTGTGGTTCATGGGGTGATATATGGTTTGGTAATCACTACTTTAATTAGAAGCATGCAATAAGCATCCAAAAGCATTAAAATCTTTGAAGACATTTTGGTCCACAGAGCCAACACTGATTTCAACACAGCGGTCAAATATATGTGCAGAATGTGCAGTAAAATTGATGCAAGATTTAGTACTCTATGAAAAAAGTACTCCATTAACTTTTTTCATAGCTCGTTTTATTTGCAGTTTATTTCCAAGATGACACAATAGGCACTACTTGGGCGCCTGCCATTTCTAAAAACTTGACATACGAAGCTGCGATATATGTAGTATTATAACCAGGGCTGTGGAGTCGGAGTCGGAGTTGCGGAGTTGCGACATTTTTAGCGGAGTCTGAGTCGCTAAACAAAATTGTGACTCTGACTCCAATAGTAAAATTTCTTGGTATTACACATGCATGTACAAAAAATTCAATTAACCTTATATTAATATTAAACTTTAGAGAACGTTTCTTAAATTTATCAAAAAAGAAATGGAGTCGGAGTCGGAGTTGGAGTCGGAGTCAGAGTTGTGCTCAAAAAATTTCAACAACTGGAGTCGTTACTTTTTTTTACAACTCCACACCCCTGATTATAACCTAGAATAATTTCAAGCTCTCTATTTGTTCATTGAAAAATAATCCCAACAACAGGACATAAGTTTAATTTTGTTGCTATGGAATGACAAACAACTAAAAGTAAACAAGTGGATAAAATAATCTGTTCGTTATCATTTTACAAACTTCCTACAAATAAATTTTGTAGGAATCTTTATTAAAAAACTTTATTTAAATGAGAAACCAAGGAAATTTATTTTTTTACTCAAAATGAGACAAAACGCTTGGAACAGAATTTAAATTCAATGAATCGAATAAAATTTAAACAAAATTCTATTGATTTTAACTTTGAAAGTTTTCATTTATTAGAAATCGATTAACATACAAATACATTTGTTAATATACTTCTAACTAAACCAAAAACAACTTCAACAAAACAAATAATTATTTATTGTTATAAAAAGATTAAAGCTCATTAAATAACAAGAAATCATGCTAAAATAAGGAAAGAGTTTAGTGGAAAGATCTTCTCTTTGATAAAACTTCTAATAAAATTCAGTAACTGAGTATATAAAACCAAAAACTTAACAAAAAGTTTATGTATACATTATTTGTTGTGAAAAGTAACTTTAATTTACGTATATGCGTTATAGTATAGCAAATTTAATACCATCTTACCTCAAAGTTTTTTTTCTATAATGATAATGTTTTACCAAAAAGGTTTTTCAACTTTTAATAAATTTATTCTACATTTAATAGTCTTCTAATGTTTTCAAAATTTCACTATATTTAAATATATATATATATATATTTATATATATATATATATATATATATATATATATATATATATATATATATATATATATATATATATATATATATATATATATATATATATATATATATATAAATTATATATATATATATAAATTATATATATATATATATATATATATTTGTAGAAAACCACTTAACAAAAATTTTTTTCATTTTACACTGTGTTTCATCAACAAAGACTCAGCAGAAAATCATGAAATGATGAAACACAGTGTAAAATGAAAAAAAACTTTGTTAAGTGGTTTTCTACTAATTTATAATTGCTCTGTTCTTCTAAGAACATCAAGCACTCTATTTTGTACAATACATTTTTTTTAAATTGTTTAAATATATATATACATATATATATATATATATATATATATATATATATATATATATATATATATATATATATATATATATATATATATATATATATATATATATATATATATATATATATATATATATAACTATATATATATATATATATATAACTGTATATTATATATATAACTATATATATATATATATATATATATATATATATATATAACTATATATATATATATATATATAACTGTATATTATATATATAACTATATATATATATATATATATATATATATATATATATATATATATATATATATATATATATATATATATATGTGTGTGTGTATATATATATATATATATATATATATTTACATATATATATATATATATATATATATATATATATATATATATATATATATATATATATATATATATATATATATATATATATACATATATATATATATATATATATATATGTATACATATATATATATGTATATATATATATATATACATATATATATACATATAAATATATATATATATTATATATATGCATATATGTATATATACACACATATATATATATTTATATATATATATATAACTATATATATATATATATATATATATATATATATATATATAACTGTATATATATATATATATAACTATATATATATATAATATATATATATGCGGTAGTGGTAGTGGTAGTGGTAGTGGTGTAGTGGTAGAGCGCTTGCTTCATAAACGAGTGGTTCCGAGTTCAATTCCCACCACGTCCCTGGTAGTACCGCGCTCAACTCGTTTCTCCGCGCAGCGGCCTTGTTCGTCAAGGTTCGTGTTTCGGAGTTATAGAGTTGAGAGAGGGTTATAGCCACAAATAAGTAGCCTCCTCGTCTCTAGTGGCCGTCTTGGCCTTGAGGAGGTGAATTAAAATATATATATATATAACTATATATATATCTATATATATATATATAACTATATATATACTTATATACATATAAATATATATATATATATATATATATATATATATATATATATATATATATATATATATATATATATATATATATAGAGAGAGAGAGAGAGAGAGAGAGAGAGAGGAGAGAGAGAGATGGATAGACAGAAAGATATATATTTTTATATAGATAGATAATGGCCTATGGGGCATTTTAAAATCAAAAAAATGTTAATGATAATTACTTAGGATTTACAAATTTTAAATTTTTATAAAAAAAAATTAATTTTGAAAATTAAAAAGGAAAAATTAATTACCCACTCCATTTTTTAATACTTTTCAGCTCTGTTGTTATAGTGGATACAACATGAAATCAAAACTCATCAAAGTTGCAAACTTTTTTTTTATCAACACAATTTAAAAACACAAACAAATGTTTGTGTTTTTAAATTGGAAATATTGTTAAACCTGCTCTATCATATTAAAACCTATTCATGCTAATTCATCTTAATTCATTTAATAAAAAATTTTGCTGAATTCTTTAATTTATCTTTAGTCTAATCAAAAAGTTCAACAATGACTGTTTCATTGTTGGTGACCTTAACCTCCCAAATACAAAGTGGTTTAATGGTGGTATTAAATATTTCAACCCAAACAATTTTACCAAGTATGAATTCTGAAATATTTACTAAAACAGTCTCTTTGCACAACATATCATATTTCCTACTTCCCAGACAACATATGGTTCCTTAAAGAATATTCTGGATTGATTACCTAAAACAGTAAGTCTATTTTAAACTTGTCTCCTAATACCATACAAGGTAATAACACTAAAGATCACTTGGAGAACCTTAGTTTCAGAACTGCTTTCCAAAAGTGAATCTCAATTATTTAGCTACAATAAAGGTGATTAAGATTTGATATTAAACCTTTATTGCATCAATCAAGAGGGATATTTTATTTTTACATAAAAATGCGGATCAAATATTCAATTTATCAACTTCTAATTATTATACTATTTGTGAATCTCTAAGATTTATAAAACAGAAAAAGTATGATCCTTGTGCAACATATATATATGCAATATATATATATATATATGCAATATATAGAATATGCAGATTTTGTTTGGACTCCTTAAATAGAAAATTGATATAGCCATGGTCAAATCTGTTTAATGCAACAAAATTCATTTTCAGTTATAAGCACCTTTAATACTGCTTAATATAGTTGATATACAACTAAAAAAACTTGTCAAATTGAGGTCACCATTTTAAAATAAGGCATGAGTGGTTTCCAAACTTATTACCAAGACACAATCAGTTATATAATAGATCAACAAAGTTCTGTAATGCAAAAAAGAAAAAATAACCTTTTCCTCCACTAAATCTTTTTTTCAAAAGTAGTTTAGACTCTTGGCTGTGGAAAAAATTTAGAAAAACTGTTTAAAAAACTGGTCTGGCAAAATGATTTTATTTCTTTTTAAAATAAGGTGTAAAAATGTATTGTAAAAAATATTTGACTTGTAGCAGTCAACATTAAAACAGCATAATAGTAACTGTTCTGCATAATAGTAGTTCTGTATAATTCTAAAAAAACTGAACATATAAATAAACTGTTCATCATATGTTTTATATAGTTAAATTGATACCCATTTAATTTGATTGGTTAAATCTTGTCTTTTTAAAGAAGCTCCTTGTATAAGGCATTTTTATTGCTCTAAATTTTCTATATCTTTAAAACATATTACTATTCTGTTTTAATTCATATAAATTAACTTTAAACTCCACTGTAAACAATTAAAAGCAAATGAAATGGAAAAATGATGTCATTAAAGTTATTTAAAAGTTATAAAATGAAACAAAGAAACCAATGAAGCTATTAAAACGTTTTAATCTTTTTATTTATTTTTTTTTTAACTTTTTCCTACTATCAAAAGAATAATAATTAAAGTTAAATAAGTAAATTAAATAATAAAATAATAATTAAATTAAATAATAATTAAAAAATTAAATGTTAAAAAAATAAATAATAAATAAAAGTTTTTAAAAATTTAATAATAAAAAAAATATAAACTTTTACTGAACTAAAACTGAATTAAAAAAAAACAAAACAAAAAAAAACCTGCTTATCACTATCCTGAGGACTTTTTTGTACCCACATTCTTGGAACATGTATCTCTGCAAGAGCAATTAAAAGTTGAAATGAGGTACCAAGTGGATCATTCATTTTAACAACAGCTTTTGTTGCAGTTTTCTATAAAATCATGTCTTTCCCATTAATAAATTATTGATACCATACTATTATATGTAGTTATAAAAGAAAATGAATAATATTATATAATAAATATATAGGGGAAAGACGCCTATGATGGCATACTTAAGTTTAAGGTTCATTGTTCAGTATCCTGAAGATCAATAATAAAAGTTTTGATATGGATACATTCCTTGATACATGTAGAACAGTAATAACCTTCGGAGTTTTCATCAGTTTTGTTTTTTTTATAATTTATTCCTATTTTAAAAAAAAGTATGCCACCATCATACTGCTTCTATGATGGCATAGAGGCTTGTTAGCATCAAGGGTAACTTGATGATTTTATTTAACATTAGAATCCTCCCTCGGAAAAGCTAGAAATAACCCAGAACCATCCTAATTTAACATTTCATGTTATACAGCAGCATTGTAAAGTTTTGCGCATGAGCATAAAATTTTATGTATTTTTGGACCAAAAAAAAGTTTGGAGGATTGCTTTCTTTTTACTTTACTTAAAAATGAATTTTAATATATATATAACATTATATATATATATATATATATATGTATATATATATATGTATATATATATATATATATATATATATATATATATATATATATATATGTATATATATGTATATATATATATATGTATATATATATATATATGTATATATATATATATATATGTGTATATATATATATATATATATATACACATATATATATATATATGCATTTTTTAAGGAAAAAACACATATTTTAGGAACTCTCTTCAAAATATATATATTTCCGGTTTAAAAAATATAACACTTTTGAGTTGCTTTTTTTCAACTTCTTCTTTAGTTTCTTTCTGTTGTCTCTGGCAACAAGCATGAGATTCTGTTTCATGTTTCATGTCATCTGACCTTTTTTTTTTGTACTTTTTAAAAACACTAAGGTTTCTCTTGCAATGTTGTACAGGGATGATCTAATCTGAAGCTCATTCCAATCAAACCTGATGATCTCCTACATCTTTTCCACCTCTTCCTTGACTCTCTCTTCTTTTCGACTTGACCTCTTCCTTCTTTTTTTACTAATTATTACCTAGGTTTTATAGAATCTTTTTTGATGAACAGAACTTTTGGAAATAGGAATATTTTCAAGATTCACGCCTGATTTATTGCATATTGCTGCAATGATCGCGGTTTGAGGTTAGATTCCAACCCTATACTGAGCAGATACTACAGATGTACAATCCACCAGAACATCAGAACTAATATTTATCATTATCTTAATAATAAATAATAATGATATTTCTACTCTAATTAAATCTTAATTTTGTTGACTCAAAATAAATTAAACCAACTTTTTATTTTATAACCATTATTTGTTTACTTTGGCTTTTACTGTAGAATTAGAATACTGAAGTAATTCATCAACAGAATCTTCATCTGTGAAAAATACAGCTTTTGATTCTGATGCAAAGGAACCAGCATCAGAATCTAAAGACTCACTTAGAGTCTGGTCATTTTTCTTTTGTTCTTTCTCCACTTTTGCATTTTTATGTTACTTATTCTCCGCAACCAGTCCTATCTGTTTTTTATTGATATTTTAAATTCTTTATCTACCTCTATTGTAATATATTTTTTCTATCCTCTTTCTGGTCTAAAAAAGACTGAATATCTCTTTAACAACAAGTATATAGTTGAGAAAATATCCTCTTTAACAACAAGTATATAGTTGAGAAAATATCCTCTTTAACAACAAGTATATAGTTGAGCCTAACTCTAAATTACACATGTTTTTCAAAATATGAAATCTATTAATACTGGAATTTTTGTGCTTATTTGATACATTGACTTTTAAGTAATAAGTTGTACATTGTACAATAAAGAAGATTAGTGAATACTTTTCTAGAAAAGAAAATCAAATTGAAACAGTTGCATTTTTTCTGAATCTGAAAATTCTAATAAATTCCAAGATAATTCTCATAACAGTTTATCATTTGTTCAGTCAGATGATGCAAATAATTCAACTGCTGTTTTTGAGTCACCATTTTACAGACCAGCCTGGACCTTTTTGATCAAGACAGTCATCACATCATGCCATCAAAAAAAGGAAAAAAAATTCAAAACAAAGCTGGAATGAAAAACATAAATGGATTTTGCAAGAATAAAAATTGCTTTTGTTTCACCTGCATCAAAGCTACCCAAATGAAAATGCTTTTACCTCGTAATTCAAGAGAAAAAGATTCATGCTTTTAATTTAAACATTACAAATTTTAGCTTCACACAAGTGATCTGAACTCCATAGGGGATCCTTAAGTTTTTCATTATCACATGCAGTGTGATAATGAAAAATTTTAGAATCAGGAAAATCAAACAGTTTATTTAAACACTAAATTGCAATTAATGTTTGCAATTTAGTGCAAGCATTAATTGCATTTACGCCAAAGCTGAGTCAAACAGCAACTTTATATTTCGTTTAATGAAATCACCTATATCACTTCCCCCATTTTCGATAAAAACTTTTTCTAAAAGACAACCAATATATTATCAAAAAGTGACAAAACTAAAGTTTATGGTTAATTATATGTATTTAAAACTGTAGCATTTTTATCTAATGTTTTTGAACATACATTTTACATATCATCAGCTAAGAACCAAACCACTGTATGTTCAAATTGAGTGTTTTCTGTTTTTTATCAAAAAATATTCAACTAAATCTCCAAAACGTCTGGCATGTTTCAATAAATTATCAAATATAGAGGATGTAGAAAGCAGAACATCACTGTGGGCATTTTGTCCACTCAATGGATCCTTAGAAAACCATCTATTATATCTATTGTGAATAACAATTCCGCCATCATCAGATGGTTAGAGGATTTTAAAAATCATTCTGATAATTTAGCCAATAATAAGTCAGAAGCAGCAAGTTATCTGGAATCTTTTTGTAAGTTTAACATATTTTTAAAACAGGAAATTTTGTGCATGACCTTCACGATAATTGAGATGCACTCCAAGGTAAATAATGTTTTCTTTCATAGTGTTTTTTCAAATATATTATTTTAGGCAAATTATAATATTAAACTTTTATTGAAAAACATTTTAGGCATGCAGTTTAAAGCAAAAAATACCATCAATTGTTTAAAGAGGTGTTAAAAGAAGCCCGGGGTGATATTCGCTGTGTTATGGGATGCAGCTGTTGTAGCAGCAGAATGTAGTTTACTTGACAAACCGCAAATGCCATGGAAACATTAAATTACATCATAATTTACTGAAAGTAGAGTTTGATACTTTGCTACAACTCCAGAGGATCACTACCACCAGGTGACTTTGAAAATTACAAAGGTGATTTTAAAGCTTGTAGAAGGCTAAAACTGCATCACAATATATATGTGGATCATGCCAAATTCAAAAATATTCAACTAAATAATTTTGAATATATATACGACTGAGGATGAAATAAATTGATAAGTATTTTTAATAATTTATATATATAATATAATATATATATATATATATATATATATATATATATATATATATATATATATATATATATATATATATATATATATACAGAATATGTAAAAGTATTTTCTATATAATTATATATAAGAATAATTATATAAAATTTATATTCTTATTTTGTGTGAGAATAAAGTATTATTTTATAATAAAAACTATAATAACTCAAGTAAACTTTTTTAAAATTTTTTCAGTGTATATTTCAATTACACAAATATTAATATATGCATAATTTTAAAAATGATTTAATTAATTAAGGACAAATCATGAGTGTGCATTTTTCCGCAAACTAATTATTGATATTGTTCAGAAGTATTGTATTTAGCAGCTAGAATAAATAATACCTTAATTAAGATGTTTCCATGAGTTGGAGAAACAATTGATCTGATAGCGCAAGGCATCTCAAGAGAAATTTCAAGAGAAAACTCACTAAAATGGTAAAAATAGAATATAGATATCTATTAAAAAATATAAGAAAATATATTTTCTTTTTTTTTAAATAAATTCTTCAAATATATATTTTTTTGAAACAGCTTATATGTATTTTTAACTTGAATTTCAGTTAAAATTAAACATAAATTGCAATCAATAATAGTTTCATTGTAAAAGTATAAATGAAATTTATATTTTTCTATAACTTGAAATTTTGAAAATTAAGTGTTATTTAAATTATTTAAAATTAAATGTTATTTAAATTAATTTAAACTTTCTATTACACATATATAAAAAGAAACTTTTTTTTTTTCAAGAGTTTTTATTGAAACTATGTGCACATTTTTTATATATATATTTTCAAAAAAAACTTTATATAAGCACTGGATATTTTATGGCTGATGCTGTAAAATACCCTGAGGTTATATATTATTTGCTGCTCTGTGAAAGTAATCTATAATTTAAGTTTAAACAATAGAAACAAAGAAATGTCCTTGAATATATAAAATGCTTTATTTTAATATTTTTTGTTTGTTGGATATTATATCAAAACTTTTTTAAATTTTATAGAAGATTTTATTGCAACAAAATTTTCTCTAAAATTAAAAATCTAAAAAAAAGTGTTTGTTAATCATTGAGAACATTTTTTTACCAACTCTTTTTTCTCCCTTATTTTAACAAATAATTATTTCTCCTTTATTTAAACAAATAATTATTGCTATAAAATAAGTACTCTTTTGAAAATGTTAATGCAATTTACCAAAGTGACATGGATTATAGCAATTGTTTATTAATATGTAATGTTTATTAATATGTAATATAATTATCTAATTAATTAATATTATTAATTATAATACTATTAATAATATTATTATTATTAATTATTATTAATAATATTCATAGTGGCTAAGTGATAAAAAAAAGAGTTTAATAATGGTATAATAGTGAAACAGTAATAATGCTAAATATATACCCAAAAGAATTAACGTTAATTGTTTCCAGTTCATTCTATAAAATAAATAAAGTCATCAAGTTAAAAATAAACTTTAAATTTTTGAAATTTTGCTTTTTATTTACAAAATGAACTTTAACCTGCATTTTTGTAGCTAATGCTTGGTCTTTCACCCATGGTGCAACACAACCAGGAAGTGAAAAACTTATTTGATCATCTTCTAGAGATAGTTCCGCAACATAAGTAATTTTTATAAGAACATCTGAATTTGGTGGTAAATTCCCAACAGTAACAGTGAAAACATCCTGTTAAAATAAGTTTTTTTAAAATCATATATTGTAAGGTAAAAAGTTGTCAGAATTTAGTTTAAAATAAAAACTCTGCATTGAAAAATTTATTGTAAAGTAAAAGTGTTTTCAAAATAATGTTATAGTTGCTTTATATTTCTACAATTTTCCCAACAAAAAAACTTATTTCTAATCATTGTAACTAGTCAAGCACTATATTTACAACTTTTTCAAAGAAATACGTAAAGCACTAATGTTGTGAATTACAGCATGGTTTTAAAAATAATAATTAAAATAATTCAATGATATAATAATGATCTGATAATAAATTTCTAATTAATTGCAAAGATTGAAAAGGTTGTTACTATGATCAAAACTGTAGATCAAAATGAACAGTTTGGTAAACATAGATACAACCCAGCAAACATTCTATCATGGAATTTCAGTGGACCTATATAAGCATTTTGAGCCACAATAGTTTTGCTTATCCGTTACTTAGTGGACCATAAGTGGCAGCCACCAAAAGTGGCTGATGACCAGCCATATCACATGTTGAAAAGTTATTGGCTAGTCACTTATAGCAGATACATAAACGAATCTTTAAAAATGCTCATGTAGGTTCTCTGCAAACCCACTACAAAAATGTTTGCTGGGAAAGTAAACATTAAAAATTATTAGAAAAATGAAATACTGAGCAACCTAAGCATAGAGTTATGAAATACTGAGCAACCTAAGCTTGCATAGAGTTATGAAATACTGAGCAACCTAAGCTTGCATAGAGTTATGAAATACTGAGCAACCTAAGCTTGCATAGAGTTATGAAATACTGAGCAACCTAAGCCTGCATAGAGTTATGAAATACTGAGCAACCTAAGCATAGAGTTATGAAATACTGAGCAACCTAAGCATAGAGTTATGAAATACTGAGCAACCTAAGCATAGAGTTATAAAATACCAAAAACAACTCTGTATGAGAATAAAAATTACATAAATAAAAAACAAACAAATTGTAAACCGATGTTTCAAGTACATAGGAGAAAACTAAGAAGAAAAGTTTAAATAAATGTAAATCAAACATAAATCAATAATTCATTGTTAAAGTAAAAACTAAAAACATGTGGTAAACTTAAATTTAAAAAACTAAACATAAATGCTTTAGTTTTTATAGATAAAAACCAATAATTTCATTAATAAAAACTAAACAATAGAAATTAACAACAAATATAAAAGGAAAATAAAATGGATTATTTTTCTTTTATATGTGCATAATAATTTATCAAAAAATTTAAAAATTATAATGATGCTAAGGCCAAATATGTAAATATAGCGACAAAGTCAAGCATCTCCTCAGGGGTATAATTGTGTCACTATGGTGTTTGAAGAGGTTAAACATTAGTCTCTATTTACTTTCATTAGAGCCATGATAAAAATCATGTTCTGTTTCAGTGACTATCTTCCACCCTACACCCTACACCATGGTGTACACTTCAATGAACCACTGTATATCAATCTTGCTATTAAGGTGAAAAAAATTTTAGAAAACATCCATATACTTTTCTGAAAATATGAAATAAAAATAATAACAATAAGAAAATAATGGAGAATGGTAATCACATATACACCATAGCTCAAACAATAAATAACTGAAAACTCAAAAAATAAACAAAACTATATATTTTTTTAAAAACCTTTATGAAATAAGTTTTAATGGTACAAAAACAATTTTATAAAAGCCATATGATGAATACTTAAAATTTATAGGAATAACAAAAAATGTTTACTTTATAAAAGTTTTTTAATTTATTTCTATTCTTAATTTCAATTTTTTATTTCTATTGTTTTCTAAATAATTCTGAACTAAATAAAATATGATAAAAACAGATGATCAGATAAAGTGTGCTTGTAGGGCTAGTTATAAAGCCTTTAAAACCACTTCATCCAACAAAAAGCTCTATTCTGCAATGATGTAATTGTAATTTGGTGTCATTCTAATATAAAAATAATTTTTAATGAAAATAAAAGCACACATTTAGTTTCTTGTAAACAAATTTTGTTAAACATATATTATTATTTTTGTTTTATATTTATGCAAAAAAACCTCTACAACTACACTGTTTATGTTAACAAACTTCAAAGCAACTACAGTATTTATGTTAAAAAACATAAAAGCAACTACTGCATTTACATAAACAAACTTTAAAGATAGTTCTGGAATTAAACAATGTTTGATACAAAAAAATCTATAAATTAATTTTAACCTTAATGCATAATATAAATAGTAAATTTTATAAAATAAAAAATACTGGTGACTCCTCTTGTTCTTCCATAAGGTATGCACCATGACCTTGTTGTATTGCTTCCTTATATTCTTTTCGCGCTTGCTCCTTTTCTTTTACTTTTCCCACAATGTGCTTTCCATTTATGAATGCCTCAAAACTACATACTGCAATAAAAAACAGAAAAAATTACTCTGTATATGCACTAGGGTGTTGACTTTTATTGGTAAATTTTTGTTATCTCCAGTTTCCTTTATAAAAAACAGATGAACTTAGGTTTGAAAGTAATTGAAAAGTCATTGGTTTTATTTAAATTTTGAAATAGGTCACCCACCATGATCCTTGATTACACACTGGCTTTTTCTTCAAAAGTATATCAACCTGGGTATATCAATCTTTTTTACTGAAACTTTAAAAAAATATATTGCAAACAAAATGTCATAAAAAACAACCTTTTTAGTGGGAAATTGTTGTTTCTTTGTAAATAAAATTTAAGCAATTCTTTTTTATTTAAAACCATTATTACTTCTGAAACCTCTATGATTCTAGTACTTTTGAGACCTAGGTCTTACTTTTGAAGTAAAAAAAAATCACTGATATATGGAGCCAGTGTGTAATCAAGGAGCATGGTGGGTGACCTTTTTTAAAAAATAAAAGCAATGACTTTTTAGTTACTTTCAAACCAAAGTTCATCTGTTTTTCATACAGGAAACTGGAGATACCAAAAAGTCAACATCCTAATATGCACACATAAATATACATTTCCACAACAATTTTTTTACCTTGTCTCTTAAGCTGCATTTTATTGTCGTCGAAATGTAAAAGCAATTAAATTATTGCGGAAGTACATTAAATTTTATTGTTTTTAAAAAAAACTGCAATAATAAAGACTAGAAATTTTTTTTTTAATTAGTGGTTTTTTCGTTTATATTTTATTAAAAAACATTTTTAATGCGTAGGTGTTGCTACATCGACTATCTTATAGCCTGCTGCTACAAGGAAGTGTTGATACATCGACTATTATATAGCCTGACTCGCAACGGAGAGCTGCTACATCGACTGACAAATAGCCTGACTCGCAAGGGAGTGCTGCTACATTGACTGATAAATAGCCTGACTCGCAAGAGAGTGCTACTACATTGACTGACAAATAGCCTGACTTGCAAGGGAGTGCTGCTATATCAACTTTTTTTGAAGTTTTTAACATTTTCTGGTCAGGCTTATTAACGCACTCTTTAAAACAACAGTTTATGGGTAAAACTTTCTGACTACCATGCAAGACTATATATAAACACATATATATATATATATATGTATATATATATATATATATATATATATATATATATATATATATATATATATATATATATATATATATATATATATATACACATATGTAAATATACACTTTACCATATTTTGTTGACATTGAAAAAAAGTTAAAATGCAACACCAGAATTTTTTTTTTAAACTTGATTGACTGCCTGCCCAAATCAAACCCTCAATCAATGCAACAGCACTTCCTTATAACAGCAAGCTATAAGATAGTCAATATAGTAGCACTCCCATGCAGCAGCAAGCAGCATAAGAAAGTTGATGTAGCAACACTTCGCGCATGATTTAAAGTAAAAAAAAAATATTTAAAAATAAAAACATTGTTTATATTTTTTAAAAAAAATTAGAATGTTTTAAAAACATTCAGAATGTTTTAAAAATGTTCATAATTTTTTTAAAAACATTATTTTCAATTAGATTTGCATTTTTGTAGTTTTTAAAAAAAATGATTAGTTTGCAATTAAATTAATGGTTTTAACTTTAAGACAACATGGAAATGTTGGATGAAAGTCAAAATTAAATAAAAGTGATGTAGTTTTATATATATATATATATATATATATATATATATATATATATATATATATATATATATATATATATATATATATATATATATATATATATATATATATATATATATATATAATTAATCTGATTAAATTTATTGTTTTCTTAAAAAATCACAAAAACGCAAATTAAAAGACTAGAATGTTTTTAAAAACATTCTAAAGATTTTTACTTTTTTACTGTAAAACATGTGCGGAGTGTTGCATCTTATAGCCTATTGCTACAAGGGAGTCCTGCACATCGACTATCTTATAGCCTGATGCTACAAGGAAGTGTCACTACATTGACTGAGAGTTTGGTTCAGACAGGCAGTGTATCAATAAAATTTAAAAAAAATTTATTTTAAAAAAAAAAAAACTTTTTTTTGGTCTTCAAAATAATATATATATATATATATATATATATATATATATATATATATATATATATATATATATATATATATATATATATATATATATATATATATATATATATATATATATACATATATATAAATATATATATACATATATATATATATATATATATATATATATATATATATATATATATATATATATATATATATATATATATATATATATATATATATATATATATATATATATATATATATATATATATA